ACCAAACTTTTCCACAACAACTTTTATAAAGTTCGATTATAAACATAGCTCCAAGATGTGGATAAAATGCCGTTTCTGTATATGTATGCCCCGAAAATATTCCAATTAGCGTTGCTAAAACCATATGAGGAGCTGGAAAAATTACCAATCTAACAGTATCGGTTACGTTTGCAGCTATGGACTTATTTTGTCGAACATTATCCATGTGTTTTAATACTTCATCTATAAGCCGACCTACGTAAGAAAATTATATATAGGTATAACACAAAACTGTACTGTCTCTAACGACGCCCAATATTATCTTCTTTATTTATTTAAGAAGTAATTTATACTAATTTATTTTAGAAAGAAGTTATATATATATATATATATATATATATCGTTAAAAATTGCATTAAAGTACCCGATACTAATTTTTGAATATCCCTATTTGATCCAGCCACAAAACCAGCGCGGTTTGTTAATTGTCTTAATTTATCTATATCGTCGTCAGACCAGTAGCCAAGGTATTCATCTAAGCGCGCCCCGGCTTCTCTCTTAAATTAGAATGATTATATTATTTATGATCTTTAGTGAAATAATTATATCTATTGGTTTTAATTTGCACCTTCATGACCATATCTTCATATAAAAGCATCAGTTTGTACATGTCTTTCACCGTGGCATTAGAAATTGCATGAGGCCAAGAATAATTTTTAACATACTCTTGATTTTCTTTTGTTCTATTATGAAAATTTTTCAACTTTTCTATTAGGTTTGGATCAGACTCGTTGAGATTTTTCATTCGATTAAAAAATTCAGGGCATGTAGTTTCATTTAGGTATTTTGTTAACTGCGAATTATGTTTCAAAAAAGCATAAAAACTTTATTTTATAATGTTATTAAATTACTTACGAAGCGACCGCTTATGGTTTTATTTGGTTTTGTTGCTCCTGTTACTGTTGTTGTTGATGATGATGTTGATGGTGTTGTTGATGTTGATGCTGATGATGTTGTAGTTGTTGCATTTGTTGTTATTGTATAATTTTGCGTCGAATTTAAGCTATGGCTAAAAATCTAAAATATTATTTAAAAGAAGTTCACGTTATTCAATATTAATTAGTCAATTATTAATTAATTTATTTCTTTGCGTGTCAATCTACCTGATTTTCTAATCCTAGTGATAATAGATAGGCCGTCTGTTTAAATCTCATCTGAGTTGAGTTATAAATACGAAAAAAATCTGTAGATGTTTCGTTTAAAAAATATTTTTTTCTTAGATCTTGTCCAACTTTATAAGCGTAATCAGCACCTTTCTTGAAGTTTCAAAATTATATCAATTTGATATAGGAATAAAATTAATATGAAGTAATAACTCGGGTTTATCATAATCGCTGCATAAATATCAAAATTCCTACTTCAAAATAATGGGTTTGTCTTATTGTATTTAAATTTTAGTTTTATATATAAGTATTTTTGCGTATTAGTACCAAATATAAATAAATATAATAACTCAATATGAAAACGGAAAAGCAAATGCTTAAAACGCATATAGAAAATATTGATTTCAGTTTCAAATTTTCCAAATAATTTGCCCATGATATAAATAATCGTTTCTATATAAGTTCACAATATTAATTTTTTAATTAAATTAATTCTTTCGAAAATATTTACCATGAGTAAGGTAGTATTTTTATCTTTCGAGGTTCTAAATAGTTGAAAACCGCCTTTGTAATCAGCTGGATAATGAGCTGGCGATACAATTGCCTGTATTATAATTTTTAATATAAATCTTATTTATACAATTTATACCATTTAATTATATTTAAAAGAACTCATTTAGCATGAATATATTCCATATAATTTTCAATATTATGCATAACACATGAACACACCACAAAAACATATTCAATAGTTGAGTTTTTGCACGTTCTCAATTTTGCTTCACTAGAATTTGCAATTATAAGAAAAATAAGTGTTATGGGTAATAAACATTTAACTTTTAACATGATAAATTTCAAGTTTGAAATAAGATTATTGTTACATTTACTTGTAAACAATTTAATGTCAAATGTTCGAATTATATTAAATAATTATTATATAAGATAACAACATATTTGTTTCGAAAATCGATAAATGTTGCAATAATTGTTCAAAAAATTTAGATTATTATTGATTTATGCAAATTATATTTTAGGAAGTACGAGATATTTGATTTGACTATATTTCAAAAGTAAATAGATGTATTTCGTAATAACTGATTAAATAAATTTGTTCATTAATCTACATGTTATTGACCAATTACTCAATGTTCGAATTTGTACAATAAATATCTTTACTATTGCTATTATGGAAACAAAAAAATAACTAGCTGTAAGTGGAATTCTGTCTTGAGGCAATTATGGCATCGTGCCTTAAGGCAAATTGCTGGAACTTCCCGTACCGTAACGAAATGTTCGAAGAATACTGAATGTTTTCAAATAGATTATTATAAATATTGTAACATTGTCGAATATTTATAAGAATTATATAAACTGAATTGCAGAGTTGAAATTAATTGTAAAGTGTATTAGAACTATAGGCAGAATTAAAAATAAAATCTGAAATATTTTCGATATACAAAAAACTAAAAAAAAAAAAAAAGTTGGAATTTTTTTTTTCAAAATCAATTATTTTGTTAAGACAAGCTGAAAGTTCTTTGAATCATTTAAATCGGACGTTCAGTTCTCTCAAAAACTGCAATTTTTTACATATTTTGCTCCGTATCTTCGAAATGGCTGGGCCTGCCTTTGCCAAAAAACTAATAAACACTTCTCCCAATCATTACTAATTGAATGTTTTTTAGATCATTCAAATCGGATACTCCGTTCTCTCAAAAATTCGATTTTTATTTTCTGCACTCTTTGCTCCGTATCTCCGAAACGGCTGGACCTGCCTTTGCCAAAAACTGAACAGCTCTTTTCCTATGAATAGGAATCGAATGTTTTTGAACCATTCAAATCGGTTGATCCGTGCGCCCTAAAACGTGACTGGAAATTTGTATCCATACATACATACACACACACACACACACACACACATCCATTTTTTCTGAGGTATGCCAAAACGTTCAGAAACCTTCAAAACGTCGAGAAATGTAAAAATTTTCAATTCCGATTTTCGGCCCATTACAATAACTTACCCTACGGGAAGTTAAAAAGATATATAAATAATATATTAAGTTTCATTTCCGAACCACGTTTTGGCGCCCCCTACCCTAAGGCGTGCGCCCGCATTTTTTGCATGCATTGAATTCGAGGTAGGACCGGCCCTGGGTATATGTATTTACTGCGGATTTATTTGGTTTTATATTATTATTAATTTTTGGTGTTGGCAAAATATAATTTCAAGACAAAATGCATATATGTGTCTATAATGTGTAGTATTACGATATGGATTTTTACTAAAAGTCTGGGGCGTATGATATTTTTATTGCCAAATATTATTACCATATATTAATTTTGTAAAATTAATTAATTTTTATATAAAAGTTTTATAGGTTTTTTAAACCAACTGAATGTCCGGCATTTTTTGTTGAACTTGCAACCAAATTAAAAGATAAATTGGCTAAATTATCCAAAAAATATGCAAAATCTATACAAGTATTAAGGATAAATACAATGAAGTGAACACATCAATACCGTTTCAAACTTGGATTTCATATGAAACCATGGAAAGATTGGTAAACTTAATAATTAAAATTATTAAATAAAAATGAAAAAATCAGTCGTAATACAGAATACATATTTTAGAAAGCTCATGGCAAAAAACTTCGGTGGTGTATACTCCTGAAATTCGAAAAGATCTTCTATCTTTCTCTGAAAAATTTCTATACTATTCCTTAACATACACTAATAAATTAAGGAGATTGTCTGGAGGTATCTATACATTATACATACACTTCAAATCCTAATCATTGGAATTTAATCGTTATTATACACCATAAAGGTTCAATGCTGAGCAGTATTCTAAATGACATGAGGCATATTATTCATGGTTATCCTCAACCATTATCACGCGGTGGTTACAAAACTAAAATGTCTATTTTCACAACATCTCAAACTGTAGTGAGTGCCCAAATTGCTGCATTTGCTCCTAGAGGAACTAAAATAGGAAGACATACAATTTCATCTGATACGTTTTATCCTGAAATTGGGTCTGCGCATATTATTGAACTACATAAAGTTTGGAAAAATAAATGGGCAGTAAAAGTAAGAGTAATATGATTATACATTTTGTGATAAAATTATGATTCTTTCATAATTCAAGTATGAATTAATAAAATATTTTTTAGATGATATACAAAAACGGCGGAAAAAGTTATTTTTTTTTTATTTTTTTTTTATTTATTTATTTATGGCTTTTAATCTTTCGATCATTTCGCCAGTTACATAGATATATACATTTAATTACAATTCCAAACTTAGAAATCAATCTTAATACTAGTTATATACTTATACATAATTTTGTATATGTCAACATTATTGTAAGATATCAACACTTGTGAATTTATTGGGAACACGATTCCTTTGTCCTGTAACATTTTATACATTGATTTCCTTTGTTTCATATATATTTTACATTTCCAAAAAATATGATCTATCGTTTCTTGTTCTCTGCCACACTGGCACATGGGATTTTGTATTATTCCTATTTTTGCAAGATGGGATTTGCTTCTTGTGTGTCCGAATCTCAGCCTTGATATAGTAGAAATAAATTTTCTGTCCTCTTTTACCTTTTTTAAACCACGTTTTTTGTGTTATTCTCATATTTGTTAGAGCGTATGTTGTTTCCTTATAATTTAAAGATTTTGAAAACTCTCCTTGCCAAGTTTTTAAACTCTGCTCTTTAACCAAATAATTTAATTCTAATGCCGGCAGCCTCGTGTATTCTTCTCCATTTTGACAAGCTTCTCTCGCCAGTGAATCTGCAGTTTCATTTCCTATGATATCTGCATGTGCTTTAATCCATATTAATGTCATAGAGTTTTCGCTATTATTTATTGTTTTCATTGTATTTAATATTTCAAAAATTAATTGGCTTGATCTTCTATTTGGCTTTTGTAAAGCCAATATGCTCGCCTTGCTATCACTGAAGATAATACATTTTGGTATTTTCTTTTCCCATGCGTACTTGACTGCAGTGTGTATTGCAATAATCTCTGTGGAAAAAGTTATATTATGAGGCTTCCTGGATGTGATGTAATGTGCCCGTTTCGAAAATTCCGGAAAATATTGAGTTCTTTTAATTTATCAGAAAAACAGCAGGAAGAAGAGTGCAAAATTAAAACAAATTAAGATTCTATATTATTTTTTTTACATTTTTTTTTGATAAAAGATTAACTTTCTGAACAAACCAACATAAAATTAAATAGTTTTATGAAATTAAAATCATATAATTAGTTACTTCTAACTAACTATTACTTATTGAGAAGCTTTAAGTTTTCGAGTGGACATTGTCAATAAAAAGTAACTTATATCTGTACACAATATTTTAAGAAATAATTCAAATTTGATTTTGAATAAATTATTGCTTTAATACGGATAAAGTCTATAAAGCAGGCAATAAGTATAACGAATCAATGTTTTCTATTTATTCGAAGAATTTATCCGATTTAATAGAAGGCCCGCTTATACGAACTACAAAGTCTATTTGAATTTAATAAATTTTAAATAATTTAAATTTCATTCGTTATCCTAAACCAAATAGAATATTTTATTTTGCGTTTGTTGAGGTTATATTCTATTTAAATATGCGCTTGAATTAAAAATTATTGATATTTTTGTAGTTAGATTTAAACTAGTCAATACAAAGAACTAAATAATCTGCATAGTTGCACAAAAATTACTTCTAGCATATAGTCAAAATATTCTACAATGATTCAAAGCAGTTGGCAGTGTTTTAAGAATATTTTAATTTGAGAAGATGCAATAATAAAACTTGAAAATAATTCTACATTATTTCGTTTCAATCAAAAATACATGAATTATTACCCATATTTACTATCAACAATAGCGCCAGCATATCATATTATAGTGGAAAAATTATTCTTTCTATACTTTGATGATAATTATATTGCAAAATAAATAATTTTCACTACAAACAGAGAAGTATACGAAAGTTTTACCTAAAATTTCACGCACATTTTCATTAATTATAATAAAATGATGGTGTTCAGTTTTATAACTCAATTTTGTTTGCTATTGGTTTTGGTAATATAACGAAATTTAATAAAAAAAATATTTATTTAAAAAACTATGTGTATTTAATTATTTAACATTATAAAACTTATTAATTTACTGAAACAACTATTAATTATCATATTATTTCTTAACTTTCTTAGCATTCCACTGCCGGAATAGTTCGGACGTCTCCTGAAACTGCAACGACTTCAATTTCGACCTTAGCATTCATTGGTAGTGCTCCAACCTAAATAGATAAAATCATTAGTAACTTTTAAAAATTATGCATTTAAAACTATCTATTCTTGGACATTTAGCAAACTTGAAAATTTGCAATTTCTGTTGACCAAATAGCATGTTAAAAAACGGCTCAATCCTTGATTTCCCATTTTCCAAATGGTAATATAGTACAATGAATTTGATAACTTCTTAAACAATACAATTAATATATATTTATTGGTAAAATAATTTTATTTCGTTAAAATATTATAAAGTGGACTTAATTAAAAATCACCTGACGTGGACAATTAATACATATTTCAATGGTACATCTTATGGTTCCATAAAAAAGCCATCTACCTCGTAAAAATAATTTAAGTCTGCTGTAAATTATCTTACTTGGAAGGAGGATCTGGCAGGGTGGTCATGTGTAAACACTTGTCCATAAACTTCATTTACAGCTGCAAAGTCAGCTAAATCGGCAAGTAAGACGGTGGTTTTTACAACACGGTCATATGATGAGTCACCAGCGGCCAAGATATGTCCAAGGTTGGTCAAAGCTTGTCTTGCTTCGGCGGCAGCTCCTCCTGCGACCAATTTCATTGTGCAGGCGTCCAATCCTAGACATCCCGATACGTAGAGAGTGCGATCGACCAAAATTGCCTATAATAAAGGAAATAGAGTTATTGACGCATTTAACATTATATATATATATCATCAGAAAACCTGATTCGTTTTTTTATTGTATGCTGGAAAAGCAATCGGAACCTAAAGCTTATAGGAGCTTTTGTAATATTTTTTACGTAAGCGGTTGGGCCATCTCTATTTCAGGAATTTATTATTACTTATTATTATTTATTATTATTTTGGTAATACTATTGCGTTATTTATTGATGCATTTTTTCACTGGAAAACATATATTTGTAATATCTGCATTTCCAATCTCTATATATTTGGACAAGTTGTCCGAAACGGGGTATAGTACCTAAAATATTTGATTCAAGGAAATGGGCTGTTCTAAAACCTGCTTTACAAAATTGTTTTCGACTTCGGATTTCCCGATTAATTTCCCATATTATCGATAATATAGGTAATTTTTGATTAATGCATTTACTTATTGCTTATCCAATTCTGTTTGTAAAAATTTGAAAACACAGTTAATATTATTTATATTATTAAATTATTAACTATAGTTAATATTATTTATATTAATAAATTTATAACTATAGCATGTTATGCACTTGTAGGATATCCTATAAAATTTGTGGGTTATGAGATTTTTTTTATCAAAGTTTATCATTCATGAGTCAAAATTGTCTTGGTTCTCTATTATATTTATCAAAAATTTTGCTCTGAAATGAGAGGCGCTATACTAATATTATTGATAATAATATTAAAATAATATTAATAATATACTAATATTATTGATAATCTTTAAAGTATAGCATAATTTTAAAAACAATAAAAACCTATATCTTCTGTGAATTTTTAAATCTTAAACAAGCAGAAAATTGATTCAAATTTTAATTTTGAAATTAAAAATTAGATTTTGATGACAGGTATAACGTTACCTGTATAAAGCATTTGTTTCAATATAAAGTTTGATGTTATTAGTTCTATTAGTTTTAGAAGAACTATGAATCAAATGTATCTATCATATTTTTAATGAAATGATTCAGCAAATCAATAACAACAATATATCATTAGGTGTAATAATATAAAATTTATCTTTTTTTTTCAAAAAAATTTTATCACTATTTAAATTATATATAACGTTACTCATTGTTGGTTCTATAGAATTTTATTGGAGATTCTTTATTCATAATTTTATGTTGAAAAAGTTTTTTGATCTTGATATGATTCTTTTACATATGTACTATAATTATAATCAAATCTTTTTTATATAATTTATTTACAAGATCATATTTTATTTTGTTCCCATATTTTGTGTTTATTCATTTTAATTATATTTAGAGATAAATTTTATATTTTAATTGTTAATGAAATTAATATTAAGATTATTACTTAACAAAACGCGATATTTGATAACTTTTTATTATCTAAGAAACTGGGAAATTTTATAATTTTTATCTAAGTAAATCAAATCAATATCGAACAAATGTTTATTAGCATACGATGTTTACAAGTTATTATCTATAAATCTTCAAGTTCTTGATGATTTTCTTTCAAATGATAATTAGTTGTTTGAAGAATATATTCTAAAAGTTTTAAACTATAATAAAAAACAAAAACTTTTAATCTAAATATAAAAAAAATCAAAACTCCACTTGTTTCTGAATTTGCACATGCTTTTTGTAGGTTATAGAACAAGGTTCATAAATATCTTTATTATTTTCTTATAAAAAATTCTTATTGTAGATCATTCTTTTACTGAAAAAAACTCTACGATAGCAATCTGCCTATATTCGCAACAGCAAAGTCTATCTAATATTTATAAAAATAAAATTATTTCTTACATACCTGGTTATATGGTGCCACTGGTTTGGCTGCAGCTTTGGTGCTGATGATTTTGCGAACTATGGTTGCCATTTTTGTTAAAATATCAAATTATTTAAATAACTAAATATGTTGCACGTTTCACGGTGTACTTGGTACTACTTTCAAATCGAATTCGACCACATGTAGAGAACGCTATCGCACGAATCAATGTGTTTACTTGACCTTTGACTCCGCACAAATGATATAATATGTATTTTGAAATGATCGCGTACGCCAGGAATATTTGTAATCAGAAATATAAATATGACAAAGAAGATAAAAATATTATTTGATTAATAATATTGAGAATAATCTGTTTGTAGAAAATGTTTCTTGTTACATATAGAGACCTTCTCTCTCTTCTCTTGGTCCCATAAAATCAGTTACTTTCGTAAGAAAAACGTTTTATACTATTAACGTAAAAATACATGAAAAATTAATGACACAATGAAACTAGAAAACAAATGATTATTAATGATGAGTTGATTTTTTAGATAAGAGATTCAACATATAGCCAATTGAAATGATGTTATCAATAAATTTCAGAAAGCGGAAATGGCTGAAATATATTCAAATATTGTCTAGGGCTGAAATTATTCTACAAAATTATTTATAAAATATTTTATATTATTTTAATTATTTGATTGAAGGTTGATAATTGTTTAAAACATATTG